CAAGCGATTCTCTTGCCTCAGTCTCCCGAGTAACTGGGATGACAGGCGCCTGCCACCATGCCCGGCTAATTTTTGTATTTTTAGTAGAGACGGGGTTTCACCATGTTGGCCAGCCTGGTCTGGAACTCCTGACCTCAGGTGATCTGCCCGCTGCGGCCTCCCAAAGTGCTGAGATTACAGGTGTGAATCACTGCTACCAGCCTAGTCAGTGTATTTTGAATAAATGCTATGGAAGCTCTTTTATTTCTCAACACTGTGAAAGACTTATCAACTGTCACCAGACATATTTAGTAGCGGAGTACTAAATCATCAGCTCCTTCTGCCTCAGTAGTCAATATTACTATTCTCATATAGCATTTGGCCCTGCCTCAGGTTCTATGCACTGACCCAGATGTTTATGTGAAGCAAATTACTAAAACCTTGAAAAATAATTTTCCTTCAAGCATTAGTCCCTATGTGTCATTTACATCTAATTCTTGGGTATTTTCAAGGAAAAGTTCTTGGTTGGAATTTGTCAGATTTTGCATTGAGATTAAAGCTAATCAGTTTTGCATGCGTGTGCTCTCTGTCTCAAGAATTGATTTCCTGGAAAGTACTGCTCTCTTGAATTTTTTTTTTTTTTTTTTTTTTTTTTGAGATAGAGTCTCACTCTATCCCCCATGCTGGAGTGCAGTGGCACGATCTGGGCTCACTGCAACCTCCACAACCTGGGTTCAAGCGATTTTCATGCCTTAGCCTACCAAGTAGCTGGGATTGCAGGTATCCGCCACCACACTCGGCTAATTTTTATATTTTTAGTAGAGACGGGGTTTCGCCACATTGGCTGGACAGCTCTCAAACTCCTGACCTCAAGTGATCTGCCCACCTCGGCCTCCCAAAGTGCTGGGATTACAGGTGTGAGCCACCATGCCCGGCCTTGAATTTGCTTTTCTAGTGAAGCATTAGGGAGAAACTCTTCAAATCTATCATAATGGCTAATATTTATATAATACTCTGGAATTTACAAAGTAGCTACTTACAGCATTACCTCATTTAATCCCCACATTACAGGGGTTGTTGGAATCCCCATTTGTAGACATAGAAACTAGGAAATGAAGAAGTTAAGTGACTTGCTCAGGGACTAATGACTAATAGAGGCAGAAGCAGGACTCAAGCCTTAGTCCTCCAATTCCAAATCTTATGTCTTTTGCACTATCCCATACTGCCTGTAAGTTTTCTTCCTTTGTTTTAAAGCCATCATTTGTGGTCACCTAAAAATGTGAGGAGAGTCTGACCCTTCATATGCAAGATCTCATCAACTTAATAATAGTTACTGGGACATAGTATCACTATGGCCACAGTACTCAATGTTGGAAAATAACCCCATGAAGTATTTGAATCATTACTCCTATGTGGTTGTTTGGGATACACTGTCTAATCTTTATTTTCAAATGAGATAATTAGTGTATGGTGTTTGTTTCTGAATCGGGCAGCCAGCAATTAACAGGAACAGGCCCTAGCTAGAAGAGGGCTGTTTTTTATTTCAGACAGCCAGCTGTGGTACAGCACGTGAAATTTCCTCTTTGGACTGTCATTTCGAGCAAATGTCCTTTATTTCCTTTGCTCTGATGCCCCATCCCTCTGTTGGGGGTGGGGCGGGAGGCAAGTTACTGCATCCTAGTAGAATCCCCTGGCCAGATGGCAGTGGCTCATGCCTGTAATCCAGCATTTTGGCAGGCAGAGGCAGGAGGATCACTTGAGGCCAGGAGTTCAAGACCAGCCTGGGCAACATAGTGAGACCCTGTCTCCAAAAATTTTAAAAATTAGCTGGGCATGGTGGTATGCATCTGTAGTCCT